GAGGGAGGGAGGGGGAGGGAGGGAGGGAGGGAGGGAAGGATGGATATATGAATTTTCTCCAAGTGAGCAGGAAGATGGCCTAGGAAACAGGGAGTTTCAGTACCTGGCAAGGGTCTCTTGAATCTGCACATCTTAACAAGGAAAAGAAAAATGTTGTATTTGAAACTGTTTCTTACAGCCTAAAAAATGTAAACTTTTAGAAAACAAGCTTCCAATTTGCTGAACTTAAAGGATAACAATTTACAATGAAATGTCACTTCCAAAAGGAAGATTAGACTTAAATTATTCTGTCTTGTATATCGAAAAATGCCAGCTAAGAGTCATATATTAACAATTTGCACATTTAGGTCCCAAATGGAGGAGTTTGATTTCTTATACAATGAATATGAAATAAAAAATTCCTAAATCCAGGCCAAATCCCGGAGGACCTGATTAAAAACTGTTTTTTATTCATTTTGGGAAGGGGAACGCCACACAACCAATTTACTCTTGCCTTAAAAACAATCTAATCCCATGAAATTGTAATAAGCTTTTAAAGTTTTACATTTTCAACTTTTCATTTAAGCAGGGCTGTTCCTCCCTAATTATGCATATTTTGTTAGGAAGACTGGGAGCAGAAAGGGAAAAATAATCTTACTTAAATTTTCACTCTTCATTGATGAGGTTCACGGCAGGTTTTTCATTGTAAGGAGCTGGTTGCCTGCGTACTTTGAACGCTGCCTGGCTTCTAGTAGGTGGTCTGTGGTCATGAATTGCATTTTTACTGTTTGATTTTATTGCCTGCCAAATTAGTGTGATGTCACTCGTGGCCTCAGTCTTATAATTAGGGATGTGTTACTCAAAAAAAAAAAAAAGAAAAAAAGCACTAATTAGTTTGCTTTTAGTATAGAGTTCTAACAGAACATAAGGATTTTCTTGGAAGATAAAACAGTGATTGTGATCCCAAATCACAGGTCTCAGGCTGTTTCAAGAGGCTGGGCTGAGGTGTAATTCAGAACAAGGATCTTGCTCAGCACCTGGTACAGAAATAGGAACATGATAAATATTTGCTGCTCTTCGAGCATAGCTAAGTGTCCAGCTCAGTGTTTAATGAATGCATTGATTTGGGGGTACCTGACCCATGGCTGGCTCTCAGCCTGTGGAGGGTGGAGGGATGAGTGGGTTTCGTTCCGAGATGTCCAATGCTGTAATCAGAATTTCCAGTGTGCCTCTCTGGCTTCAAGTATCCTGTCTGTTATGTTTGCTGCCTGACTTTGAAATTGGATTTCCTCCTGTTTGACTGCAGAAAATGCAATTCAAGCCTTTGGCAATGGCTCCGATGTGACTCTGTGGCAGCCTGCCTTCCCAGTGCAGACCACCACCGCCACCACCACCACAGCCTTCCGGGTCAAGAATAAGTCCCTGGGGCCACCAGGGTCTGAGAATGAAATCCCCACTCATGTTTTGCCACCTTGTGCCAACTTGCAGGTAAGTGGGGGGGGCGGAGTCCACCTTCCTGATGGAGCCACTTCTGGGAGAAGGCAGAGTTGTTCTCTGAGAGGCATTTTGAGACATGAGAAATGCAGTGCTGCTTGGGTTTGAATCTTAAAGGTGCACTTTCACCATGAGAAACGAAGACTGGGAGGTGCTGTGGAGAGGGGAGAAGGGTGGACTCGGGGCTGACTCTGTCGCTGTTGGGATGCGGCTTTGGAGCAGGTTCTGGTCGTTGGGTTTGTGTAAAACGAGGGGGCCGAGCGGATGCATCCAGCTTTCTGTTGTGGGTAGTAGAGCTGGTTGGGTTGGTTGTTTTGTCCTGTCTGTGCCCAGTCTGTGGTCGCCAGAGCAGTGGTGTTTTGAGAAGGGCTGGCTGGCCCTCTGGGGTTTCTCTCCACTATGGCTGTTGAAGTTACACATGGAGATTACCTCTAAGGTACCTAGAGTGTTGTTACCAAGGAAGTGTTAACTGCGCTAGGGAAGTCCTGTGTGAGGTTCATTCTTCGGGAAACAACAAAAAAAAAAAATGTGTGAAACTCATCTGTAAATAGAGGCTGGCAAGAATGGCCAGTAGATTGCTCAGGGTCGATCAGGCATCTGTCCAGGTCTCCAAAGACAGAGCCACAGTAGCGGTCCCTGACTTTCCTCAATGCGAGTGTTTTCTCCGCCTCCTCAGTAATCTTTTCATAATAATAAGGACTCTCCTTTTGGGGGGACATCATGTATGTGACATGTTCATAGAGAATTTTCACACACTTTTGTCTCTTTGGGGATATCCTCCTGGCCACTGGGGGGCGCTGTTGTGTTTTTAGCGGTGTTTATCTTGCCCCTGCATTTGGGTGTATGGGGACTCTTAGGAGTAGCGCTTTTGCTTGAGCCTCGAAGCTCTTGAGTTCCAGAACCAGCACCGGGAATCTATAGCCCGAGTTCTCTGCGTGGTCTTCCTGTGTTTGGGCTGGGGGGGTCGTGAGGAAGTGGGTGTGGGCCAAGCGGGAGGCAGCCAGGCCATCCTCTTCATGGGGCGAATTTCCTGCGTCCTCTTCCCTTTCCCCACCAAAGATCAGCCACACTGAAGCTTTGTTTTGCCAGGTGCCTCTGACTCTAGAGAGTGGGAAGTGTTTTTCCACTTCTGATGTCCTTGCTTTCTCTCCCACCCGTTCTTCTTCCCTCTCCCTCTGGGTTGCCCTGGTCTCTGTCTCCGGCCTCTCTCTGACCTAATGCAGTGATGGGCTGACCGCTGGCCATTTGGCCTTCTGCAGAGAGCTGCATGGCCACCCTCCCTGGCCAGAGGGCTGAGGAGGTTGCTCTAGCAACACCTGCTCTGTGGGGAGAAGCAGCACCTTTCCTTCCACTGTGGTGATGAGCTAGAGGCACAGAGTGAAACTTAAGGCGGGAACCTTCCCTGGGACTGCCACTTCCCTTCCCTGTAGAGCAGGACATGGAGGTGTGGGACCACCCAGAAATGCAGCAGCCACATCTCTTCCCCCTGTGACTCACACAGTATTGTTTGCCCGAAATATACACAATATTTGGGCCCCCTGGTGGCACATGGGGTTAAAGCTCAGCACTGTGACGATATCCACCAGCACTGCAGCACGAGTTCAGTCCCCAGCCAGGGAGATGGCCCACAGGGCGCAGCAGACCTCTCCTGTCTCCCCGCTGCTCCCTTCAGCAACGTATTTCAGCCAATCGGCCTGTTCTGCTCGCCATTCTGTCTCTGGTGAATCCTCTCATCCCCTGTACCTCTGGCTTGTACCACCCCAGTTCTTGTATGCATAAACAAATCTTAAAATATAGTATCACTTGTCAGTATCCCTTGTCAGTGATACTTCAATATAGCTGGAGGTGGTGGCAGAATAGAAAAGGAGAAGCCAGTTTCCAGAGCTGTCTCTTGAAGGCAGCGCCTAGGAGGATCGGGAAATCCAGAGCTCATACTGCAGTCAACTTCTTCATGCCAGCATTCCAGCAGACATCAGGGAAAGACGAAAAGTTTGACAGTAAAACTTTGTTCGGCTTGACAACGTCTTTAGTGTGACCTCTATTAAAGACGGTGGAAAGAATCCTCGGAGGCTGGGGTATGGCAAGAAGGGGAAAATCAAGTGATGAGAGACAGGCCTTCACCTGGAGAACGTGGTCCCAGGGCTGATTTAGGACTCTTGCTTCGGGGAAGGCTCCCCAGAGACTCATTCTCCCCATCTGTCCTTCCCTTGCCTGCCTGTCTCCAGATAAATTACCGTTTGCCAGGGGGTCCTCGAAATATCTCAGAATGGCGTTGGTCCCAGCTGAATGTGTCATTACTCAGAATAGAACTGACTTAAACCAGCTTGGGATCCATTGGTTACAGATTTGGAGAAAGTCAACTATCTTTGGCAGCTCTAAAGTTCACTTCCCTCGAGAAGCACCCTCTTGTAATATTTTAAAATATACAATAATATGAGAAAACTCTCAGGGACTTGAGTTTCTGTCTTAACATTTCAGATAGATTTCCCCCTTGGAAGGGAAGAAATGAGAATAAACATTTTCAGAAGTCGGCTTCCAAGTGTAATTATCAACAAACCAAACACAGTTCTGTTTGGGGAAACGGGTGGCCCTGTGTGTGGTGTGTGATTCTCCTCTGCAGTCTGTGAAGGGCCAGCTTTAAAGGGAAAGGAGAGGGATTCGTACAAAACGTCTTAGAAATGTCCAAGTCCTAACCCCCTAAGGGGATAAAATACCAGGTTTGGGGTAACCCGCCGAGCTCCCATGTTGGGATTAACTGGCTGTGGTATTAGTCACAGGCGTGACGCAGGCAGCGTTATCGTTGAGCTATCCCTTTGACTTGTCAAAGTAGTCACGTGAGAAATAAAGAAACATAAATCATTCGACCAGTTATTTCATCTTCTGTGCATCTGAGTGGTCTGGCTGCTGGAGAAAGCTCAGGATATTTAAACCAAATGGACCCAACTTGCTGCTTATTTAAAGTAAATATCTTTGGGAGAGGTAAGTACCTGCAGGGAAAAATATCTCTATTTTGCATCACCGTTCACACTTAACCCTGGTGGCTTAAAGTGCAGCCATCTTAAAGTTGCATTTATAGACCTCTGAGTCCTGTGATTCAAGAAACAATACAGGCTGGGGATCAGGGCCTTGGGACTAGGGCTGAGGCCCCAGGGCATTTCCCCTGCCTTTCCACCCTCTGTCCCCTGAAGCAGTTGTGATGGGTCATTGGCAGGACAAGGTCTGACAGATTGGGAACCAGGCCTTACTTCCTGGTGTGGGGGTACCATGAGCCATCTGGGGGCTCTAGAATAATGCAGGTCGCATTCCAAGTCAGCAAGTCTGTGTGTGTGTGTGTGTGTGAGAGAGAGAGAGAGAGAGAGAGAGAGAGAGAGGAGAGAGAGAGCCAAATGAAGCAAGTCTGCAGAGGGACTTGGGGACCAGCTTTTGTGGATCTCAAGTGTTATGTCTCCTCCTCCCCCTCCCCCACCAATGGAGCTTTTAACCAGCGTTCTAGAAAAGCAGCAAGCAGCAAGGCAGCCTTCTCAGCCTTCTTAGGGTCCAAACGGACAGACTGTGAGATGCTACTGCTGAAGTCAGCAAAACGGGAGCAGCTGGCCTCTTCCCCTTAACAACAGCATCATCTACTTGCGGATCAGACTCGTCCCACCCAGAGGCCTGCTTGTCACTTGCAGCGGGCATCCATCCTGGAGCAAAGTGCCTGCTCCATGCTCTGGATTTCAGTCGTGGTCCAGACTCCTCGGCCTCCCTGGGAAGCTTCATGATAATTCCTTCTCTTCCCAGAGCACAGCTGGAGGCTTACAGAAACGGGCCTGGCACTGGCAGCATGTACTCAGGGTTTTTGTATTGGCAGGAGGCACAGGGGGCAAATAGGACTTGCCCATTTTAAACACCACCTAACAGTTCCAGAACCCCTTCTTTAAGTCGGCCCCTTCTTCTTGGAACTGGGTATGTTCCAAGATCTGTGCAAACCCTCTATGGACTGTTTCCTCCAGTACCTGCAAGTTTAATGTATATGGTAGGCATGGTAGGAAATTAGCAACAAGGCTAATAAACTAGAACAATTATAATAATATAATAAAAAGTATAGGAAAGTGGTCTCGCAAAATATCTTACGGCAGGTAGTATTTCCAGACTGGGGTTGGCCACAGGTAACAACTGAAACCCTGGATAAGGGGGGGCTTCTATCTCTGAACACTGAGGTTGAATATTGGCTAATTAGAATATTAAAGCTCAGCTCTAGCTGAAACAAGACTTTGCATCCCGGAAGAGAAGCCTGATCCCTCGTTAGACCCAAACCAAATCCATCTGGACTGGATGGGGCCAGACCACACTGAAAATGATTTTGAAACTCTTCCAAGGGGCCATACCTCACCAGATATGGCAGGAAGGTGATTATCCAAATCTGCTAAATACCCGGGACTAGGCTGGCTGGGACAAAGTGAAATTTTAAGTGTTGAGTTTTAAAGGGAAAGCTGCCAGTGGGTGTTCCGTAAATCATTTGTGCCAGCACACTGACCCCATTATGTCAGCTAATCCTGGAAATACAGGAGGTAAATTTAAATCTTCTAGCATGAAGCACTTAATCAATATTCTAAATGTTTTTCTTGCAATTTATGCTAGCAGAGCAATGGGGTGCTTCAGCGTCCCGTTAATCTTCCACCAGGAGAAGAGAAGCTGGAGAGCGAGGCCAGGGTGGTGGACTCTGCACAGGAGGGCCGGTGGAGAGGGGTGGGGTAGAGCAGAGGAAGAGGTGATTATTCCACAGCGGGGACCTGGCCCTCACCCCCCACCTTCCAGCTAGGCAGAGCTACCACAGAGACACTTCTCAGGGCTTTCTTGTTGACCTGTGTTGACGGCCAGCCCTTTCTTTGCCGGGAGGAGCAGCAGCTTGGGGTTGGCTGCGGGCGAGTGAGACTCCCAGCTCGTCTCCTCGTGCTCTGTGATCTGGCATGTGTTTCGCGCCCTCTCTGAATTCCTGCTCTAAAATGTCACCA